CAAGAGATGAGCATTCTGGATATTTCTCACGGCCAGAAAGAGGTAACTTTTATCCTCCACTGACCCAAATAAATTGACTGTACTTTGTCCCCCACTTCCCACTCAATTTCCTACTTTGATGCCCATTCCCCCACCCTTTGTCCATCCCAAGCTTCACTCTGGAGACAGTAGCTAAATCTGTGCTAGTTAAACTTGAACCAGATCTGTTAGAAAAGAAGGGGCTATTGCAAGAAGCAGGGTGGCTTCAAAGAAAGCCAAAAGAAACTGACTGTACTGAGTCCCCCTGCTTCCCTCTCAATTTCCTACTGCCCAGAGAATAGAACTCATGAGATGGAAAAACCAGCAAAAGGGAAGCAAGTGAAGAAAGGGACAGGGCGCTACCCTCCACAAACACTTCCTGTTGGTTGTGCTGACATCACACTGCACACCATGTATCTCATGACTTGGGGTGTAGCTCACACACCTAATGCCTTAGACAACAAGAGCGAAACTCTATCTCAAAAAAAAAAAAAAAAGAATTGGGAAAATCTCAACAGAACGTTTTGTGATTGCTTATGTGAACTTAAAGGTTATTCCTATCGACTTGTAAACAACTGAAAATGCAAAATGTTATAACACGTTGATAGTTTTGGAGTCTGAGGAGTCCTGCTTTCCTTCCCTCTTAGTGACCAACTATTATTTTTTTCTTCTTCTTCTTTTTTTTTTTTTTTGAGATGGAGTCTCACTCTGTCACCCAGGCTGCAGTGCAGCGGCACGATCTCGGCTCACTGCAACCTCCGCCTCCCGGGTTTAAGCAATTCTCCTGCCTCAGCCTCCTGAGTAGCTACGATTACAGGCACCCACTACCACGCCCAGCTAATTTTTGTATTTTTAGTAGAGACAGGGTTTCACCATGTTGGTCAGGCTGGTCTCAACTCCTAACCTCGTGATCCACCGACCTCAGCCTTCCAAAGTGCTGGGATTACAGGCATGAGCCACCGCGCCCGGCTATCTTTTTTTAAATTATTTTTTAGGACACCATGTCTCACCATGTTGCCCAGACTGACTTTGAACTCCTAGGCTCAAGCCTCCTGAGTAGCTGGGACTACGGGCTATCAACTATTATCTTATGGAGGATAAAGGGAGGCATAATGAACCAGAAAAATTTGCAAGGAGACCTCCAGAATCCTTTACCAGACACAAATGAGTTTGAGCTTTTACTCAACTATAAAATGGAATTCTGAGTATCACTCACGAGAAGGTGGTTTTCAAAAGATAAAATGCTGTTCAGAGCCAAAGAAACGTGCATTCTTTTTGTGTCAGATTTAGATCTGCTGGAGAATGCTTATTTAGCTAATAATCCAGTAATTGTTGAGGGATGGGAAAGACTCAGCACTGTGTGTTTCAGAAAACCTGTCTTCAGCAGAGAAAAAAGATGGGTCTTTACAATGAGACAAGTTATATAAAAGGCACACTTTGTTATTTTGTTTTGATTCAACCTTTCAGGTAAGCCTGAAGATGTCTGATACAAGATCACAAGAAATGGAGTTTTGTATTTTTTTTTCACAGCTTAAAAAAAATTCCCCATGGTTTTTGTTTTGTTTTTGAGACAGTCTTACTTTGTCGCCCACAGCAAGTGCAGTAGCGCGATCTTGGCTCACTGCAACCTCTGTCTCCCGCGTTCAAGCAATTCTCCTGCCTTAGCCTCCCAAGTAGCTGGGACTACAGGTATGTGCCACCATGCTCCGCTAATTTTTTGTATTTTTAGTAGAGCTGGGGTTTCACTATGTTAGCCAGGATGGTCTCAATCTCCTGATCTCGTAATCCACCCGCCTCAGCCCCCCAAAGTGCTGGGATTACAGGCTTTTTTTTTTTTTGGAGCCAAAGTCTCCCTCTGTTGGTGTAGTGGTGCGATCTCAGCTCACTGCAACCTCTGTCTCCTGGGTTCAAGAGATTCTCCTGCCTCAACCTCCTGAGTAGCTGGCACTACAGGTGCATGCCACCATGCCTGGCTAATTTTTCTATTTTTAGTAGAGATAGGGTTTCACTATGTTGGCCAGGCTGATCTCGAACTCCTGACCTCGTGATCTGCCCACCTCGGCCTCCCAAAGTGTTGGGATTACAGGTGTGAGCCACTGTGCCCGGCCTAATCTAGCATTTTAAGGACAAATACTAGGGAAGAAAAGAGATTGATTCAAAGAATCATTCCAGTCAGGTGTGGTGGCACACACCTGTAATCCCAACACTTTGGGAGGCCAATGCAGGAGGTTTGCTTGGGCCCAGGAATCAAGACCAGCCTGGGTAACACAGTGAGACTCCATCTCTACTAAAAAAAAAAAAAAAAAAAAAAAGAATCATTCTCCCTGGATGAAACAAGATGCTTCTCTTCTTCTGATGTGTGTAATTTAGATTCTAACACTTAGGCTGTTTTGTATCTTGCCTTGCCTTTTTCCTCACTTAACATTACAGCATAAGCATTTCCTCCATATAATTAAATATACTTCATAAACATTTTTAAGAGTAGCTTTAAAATTATTTTTCTTTTCTTTTTTTTTTTTTTTTTTTGTTTCTGTTTTTGTTTTTGAGATAGAGTTTCGCTCTACCACCCAGGTGGAGTGCAATGGCACAATCTCGGCTCACTGAAACCTCTGCCTCCCGGGTTCAAGCTATTCTCCTGCCTCAGCCTCCCAAGTAGCTGGGACTACAGGTGCCCGCCACCACACCCAGCTAATTTTTGTTTTTTGTATTTTTAGTAGAGACGGCTTTTCACCATGTTGGCCAGGCTGGTCTCGATCTCTTGACCTTGTGATCCGCCCACCTTGGCCTCCCAAAGTGCTGGGATTACAGGTGTGAGCCACCGTGCCTGGCCTTCTCTTAAGAAAAGTAATCAACTTCAGAGTAGACATTTGTAAAAATGCAGATAAGTATGCAGAGTAAAAATCATCTATGGTTTTACCCTTCCCAGAAAAACCAGTTAAGATTTTAATTTATAATCTGCCACACTTTTTTCTATAAACACAAAAATTTGAAGACCCATACATATATTGCCCTGTAATCTTTTTCCATTTAATTATCTTGAATATCTTTCCACAGCATACTATTTTATTTTAATTTAATTTTTTTATTTATCTGAGATAGGGCCTCATTCAGCCAGGTGCAGTGGCTCACACCTATACATCCCAGCACTTTGGGGAGAGCCAAGGCGCGGTGAATCATCTGATGGTCAGGGAAGTTTGAGACCAGCCCCTGGGCCAACATGGGGGAAACCCCACATCTCTAGATAAATACACCAAAAATTAGGCCAGCATGGTGGTGGCAGCCGTATAACCAGCTCACTGGGAGGCTGAGAGCAGGGAGAATTGGCTGAACCCAGGAGATGGAGGTTGCAGTGAACCAAGGATTCTGCCCATTGCACTCAGCCTTGGAGGGACACAGCAAGACTATCTGTCCTCCAGAAAAATAAAATAATAAAAAATAAAAAGCTTTTCAATAGTTTTGCCTTGCTGGACTCACTGCGCCTCGACGTCTGTAATCCCAGCACTTGGGAATGCAGAGGTGAGAATTCTTGGAGGACAGGAGTTTGAATCAGCCTGGGGCCAAAACAGTAATGAGGACCCATTTTCTAATTTTTTTTCTTTAGAGAATTTTACAAAACCCGGGCCCGGGCACCAAGTGGGTCGATCGCGCTGTAAGCCCAGCACTTTGGGAAGAACCAGGTGGGCAGAATCACCTGAGGTTGGGAGTTCAAAACCAGCCTGACCAACATGGAGACCAACCCTGTCCTCTACTAAACAAATACACAAATTAGCTGAGCATGGTGGCCGCATACGTGTAATCCAAGCTACCTCGGAGGCCTGAGGACGGAGGCATCGCCTGACCCCGGACGGAGGTTGGCGGTAACCGAGATCACACCCATTGCAGTCCACGCCCGGGCAACAGAGGCGAATTCCATCGCTCAAAAAAAAAAAAAATTTAAAGAAAGTTTTTTTTAAATCATAAATGTTATACATTTTCAACAACTAAAACAAACATAAAATATATACATTTTACATTATTTCCATTCTATATATTACTATTTTTTCTTTGGGGCACAGTGACATGAAATTTCATTGTGAAATAAAAAAAGAAACAAAAATTTGTTGTGAAAATCACACACAGGATTGATGAATTTGGGGCTGCCTCTTGTTTTCAGCAGTGTCAGACAGTTCCCCCACACTGCCTCTTGCAGTCACGAGTTATTCTCCATCCACCTTTTATTCTATGCTGCCTATCAAAGGGTGTGATCTCTGAGATCTTTTACAGCCTAGAGACCGAATGTCAAATGTGCTAAGATGTCAAGATCCAGGTATTAGAATAGGTCTAGCTCATCTGCAGGAATATCATCCTTCCCCGTCCCCTCCATTTCAACAACCTGTAATTCCTCCCACTCACTGAATGGGAGGAAACATCTATAGATCATATATCTGATATGGAATTGGTATCTAGAATACATAAAGAAGTCTTACACCTTAAAACCATAATACAAATGGCTGGCATGGTGGCTTACGCCTGTAATCCCAGCAATTTGGGAGGCTGAGGTGGGCGGATCATCTGAGGTCAGGAGTTTGAGACCAGCCTGATCAACACGGTGTGAAACTTCATCTCTACTAAAAATACAAAAATTAGCAGGGCATGGTGCTGGGTGCCTGTAATCCCAGCTACTTGGGAGGCTGAGGCAGAAGAATTGCTTGAACCTGGGAGGCGGAGGTTGCAGTGAGCTGAGATCCCGCCACTGCACTCCAGCCTGGCAACAGAGAGAGACCCTGTGTCAAAAAAACAAAAAGGACGTTGGGTCTGATGGGGTTGAGAGGATTATCTGTGATCAACATATAGCCTATTAGATAAGAGTCAGGGTTTTTCTGTTCTGTTTTTTTGCTTTTGTTGTTGTTGTTGTTGTTGTTGTTGTTCCACAATAGATTCAGTCTTAAAGACTACCCGGGGAAAGCAACAGCAAAATTATAAAATAATTTATTCCTCGCTTCTGCTATCAACTTGTTCTTTATTTAGACGTTCTGTTTCTGGAAGTATATATAATTATACTGTGTGCCACACATATCTGTCATTCTGTTATACAATGACGTATTTCACAACGTCTATGTGCCAGATAAGCGAGTCTTACATCTTTAAATGCCTAAACATTTAATTTAAACATTTTTTCATGGTAGATTCTCCTGAACAAATGACACTGTCTCTTCTGACTGGCCTTTTGCAGCTCAAGGCCATTGTGACAAATGTCAGTCTTACATAACTGTAACCAAATGACACCCTAAGGCACATTGAGGTCTCTAAACTAAATGGCCCCAGACTGATGAGTTTTTTGGAGTTCTTGGCTCTGCTTTTTATAGAAACATTTCTTTTTTATGGGCTATTTGTGTATTGCTGCTCTTAGTACTGGTGGCCTCGGGCAATACGTCCCACCTCTTTCTAATTTACTGCATTCATACAAATGTTTGTTTTACCACCTACTTTACTGGTGACATAATATATTTTTCATCTGTTAGATCCTAGGGCTATAGCCATAGTCTTTTCAATTCCAAGTTTCAGAAGGCTAGTAGCTTAAGTTAAAAATGAACATTTATTATAAGATTATGGCGGTATCTCAAAGGTAAAGGTGAACGGGGGGGAGGGGACAAAACCAGGAAGTGGAAGCTCAGCAGAAACCAGAGGCTGTTCTCTTTGTCTCTCTCACCTCTGTGCGTCTTTGTCCAGCTGTTTCATTATTTTGCTTCTGCAGATTACTGTTCTCAGCTTCTCCATGCATGCGATAGTTATGTCAAATCAGTTCCAATCACCTGCAGAGAAGAAAGAGTTGTCTCTATCCCAATGCCAAAGCCAAAGGAGAGACTGGCCCGGTTGGGTCAGTTTCCCACCTGTGGTCCAGTCAGCTATGGCCAGGAGGATAAGGTCACATAGTACAAAAACGGCTGCTGCACCACCTCTGCCTAGAGGAAGCGGGTACTGACGAACTGGCTTCACCAGCAACAAAGGAACCAGAAAATCGAAACTGCTCCAGTCACATCTGAACTAAAAAGAGGCCAGGCGCGGTGGCTCACGACTGTAATCCCACATTTTGGGAGGCTAAGGCAGATAGATCGCTTGAACTCAGGAGTTCAAGACCAGCCTGGGCAATCTGATGAAACTCCATCTCTACCAAAAATACAAAAAATTAGCTGGGCATGGTGGCACATGCCTGTAGTCCTAGCTATTTGGGAGGCTGAGGTTGGAGGATTGCTCAAACCCAGGAGGCGGAGGTTGCAGTGAGCTGAGATCATGCTGCTGCATTCCAGCCCAGGTGACACAGTGAGACCCTGTCTCAAAAAGACAGAAAAAAAGAAAGACAGAAAAAAAAGAACGATAAGCTTGGTGTGAGGGCCTGAGATGCTCCCCTATGAAGAAAGAATATGAGGTCTGGCCCCATAGATTCATGGTATATACTTTGCTTTTCTTGAGACGTTGGTTGTTTACTCCCTGTTTATTGGATTATCACTGAGACATAACTCACATATCATACAATTTACTCTTTTTAAATGTACAGTTCAGCAGCTTTTAGTATATTCACAGGTTCCGCAACTATCACCACTTTCTTTTCCAGCACATTTTCATCACCCTAAATGGAAACCTTGTACTCATTAGCAGTTACTTTCCAACCTTTCTTTCCCCCAGTCCCTGGCAACCACTAATCTACTTTCAGTTTTCTTTTGTTTTGTTTTGAGACGGAGTTTTGCCCTTGTTGCCCAGGTTGGACTGCAATGGTGCGATCTCAGATCACCGCAACCTCCGCCTCCCAGGTTCAAGCAATTTTCCTGCCTCAGCCTCCCAAGTAGCTGGGATTACAGGCGTGCACCACCATGCCCAGCTAATGTTGTATTTTTAGTAGAGATAGGGTGTCTCTATGTTGGTCAGGCTAGTCTCGAACTCCTGACCTCAGGTGATCTGCCCACCTCAGCCTCCCAAAGTGCTGGGATTATAGGTGTGAGCTACCACACCTGGCCTCTACTTTCGGTTTCTATGGATTTGCCTACTCCAGACATTTCCTATACATAGAATCACACAATAAGTGCCTTGTCGCGTCTGGCTTCTCTCACTCAGCGTGGTGTTTTCAAGGGTCATCCGTGGTACAGCATGTGTCAGTGCTTCATTCCTTTCTGTGGCTGAATCACAGTCCATTGTAGGGATGGACCACATTGTGTTTACGTGTTCATTAGTTGATGGACGTTTAGGTTGTTTCTACTTTTGGGCCATTATGAATGTTGCTGCGAATACTCACGTACAAGTTTTTGCATGAACATCTTTTTTTTTTTCCAGAGCAGGGGTGGAAGTTTATTTGAAATGCCTTAGAACAGGAAAGGAAGCTGCACTTGGAAGAGACCCAAGTGGGCATGGGAAGGTTAAAGAGACAAGGTCAAATGCCAAACATATCTTTTCTTTTTTTTTTTTTAACTTTGAGACGGAGTCTCGTTCTGTCACCCAGGCTGGAGTGCAATGGTGTGATCTCGGCTCACTGTAAACTCCACCTCCCAGGTTCAAGTGATTCTCTTTCCTCAGCCTCCTGAGTAGCTGATTACAGGGATTACAGGCATGTACCACCATGCCTGGCTAATGTATTTTTAGTAGAGATGGGGTTTCTCCAGGCTGCCCAGCCTGGTTTTGAACTCCTGGCCTCAAGTGATCCACCTGCCTCAGCCTCCCAAAGTGCTGGGATGACAGGCATGAACCACTGAGCCCCGCCCAGAAAATATCTTTTTAATTCTCTGGGGAAATCCTGGAAGAGGACTATCTTGGTCCTACAGTAATTCTACGTTTAACATTTTGAGGAACTGCTGTTTTCCAAAGGAGCTGGACCATTTTACATTCCCACGAGTAATGTGTGAGGGTTCCAGTTTCTCCATATCCTTGCCAGCTTTTTGATTGTCCATCTTTTTAATTACAACCATGCTAGTGAGGAGGAAATGGTATCTCACTGTGGCTTTGATTCGCATTTCCCTAATGATAATGATATTGAGAATCTTCTCGTGTTTATTGATCTCATGTGTATATCTTCTTTGGAGAAATGTCTATTCAGATATGTTTGCCCATTTTTAAATAGGGTTGTCATTTTATTGGTGAGTTGTAAGAGTTCTTACGATATCTAAAATATTAGATCCTTAACAGATATAGGATATGTGAATATTTTCCTCATTCTGTGGATTTTTCCCTTTCTTGATGGCAACTTTGAACCGCAAACTTTTCAGTTTTGACTGAGTAGTCCAATTTATCTATTTTTTTCTTTTGTTGCCTTGCTTTAGGCAACAAAATCTAAATCTAAAACACCACTGTCTAATCCGAGGTCACAAAGATTTGCCCCTATGTTTTCATCAGAGATATTTATAATTTTAGCTCTTATATTTATGCCTTTGATCCGTTTTTTTCTTTCTTTCTTTCCTTATTTTTATTATTAAGACAGAGTCTCATGTGTCACTCAGGCTGGAGTGCAGTGGCATGATCTCAGTTCACTGCAGCCTCCGCCTGCTGGGTTCAAGCAATTCTCCTACCTCACCCTCCCAAGTAGCTGGGATTACAGGCATGCGCCACCACACCCAGCTAATTTTTGTATTTTTAGTAGAGACGGGGTTTCACCATGTTGGTCAGGCTTGTTTTGAACTCCTGACCTCAAGTGATCCTCCTGCCTCGGCCTCCCAAAGTGCTGGAATTACAGGCATGAGCCACCATGCCTGGCCTTTTTTATTTTTGAGACAGGGTCTCACTCTGTCACCCAGGCTGCAGTGTAGTGGCACAATTGCAGCTCACTGCAGCCTTGACCTCCTAAACTCAAGTGATCCTCCTGCCTCAGCCACCCAAGTAGCTGGGACCACCAGCATGCACCAGCATGCCTGGCTAATTTTTAAAGTATTTATAGAGGTGGGGGTCTCCCTATGTTGTCCAGACTGGTCTCAAACTCCTGGGCTCAAGTGATCCTCCTGCCTTAGCCTCCTGAGTAGCTAGGACTATAGGTGCGTGTTACCATGCCCAGCTAATTTTTGTACTTTTTGTAGAGACGGGGTTTCACCATGTTGCCCAGGCTGGTCTGGAACTCCTGAGCTCAAGTGATCCACCCATCTCGGCCTCCCAAAGTGCTGGAATTACAGGCATGAGCCACCATGCCTGGCCTTTTTTATTTTTGAGACAGGGTCTCACTCTGTCACCCAGGCTGCAGTGTAGTGGCACAATTGCAGCTCACTGCAGCCTTGACCTCCTAAACTCAAGTGATCCTCCTGCCTCAGCCACCCAAGTAGCTGGGACCACCAGCATGCACCAGCATGCCTGGCTAATTTTTAAAGTATTTATAGAGGTGGGGGTCTCCCTATGTTGTCCAGACTGGTCTCAAACTCCTGGGCTCAAGCAATCCTCCCAACTTAGTCTCTCAAAGTGCTGGGATTATAGGAATGGGCCACCATGTCTAGCCAATAAAGTTATTTTTTAAAAAGACATAAACCAAGGCCAACAGTGTAAACAAAATAACTTTCTTTTCCAAATCATTTTTTAGAATCAGCTTCTTTGGTCGGGCCTAATGATGTTACCAACTAGTAATTTATAAAAACTTGCATTTCTACATTTTTCTACATTTTTCTTAACTGCCCCCATTCCAAAACACAAGCAAACCATCTAAATTCAAGATTTGTAAGGTTGGGACTAATTCATTAACATAGGGTAAGCATGAATGAAGGCTGGAAATGTGTTTTGATTGCTGCCATTATTTTTTATTTTTTTCTGAGATGGAGTTTCACTCTTGCCACCCAGGCTGGAGTGCAATGGCATGATCTCAGCTCACAGCAACCTCTGCCTCCTCGGTTCAAGCAATTCTCCTGCCTCAGCCTCCTGAGTAGCTGTGATTACAGGCATGTGCCACCACGCCCAGCTAATTTTTTATATTTTTAGTAGAGACAGGGTTTCTCCATGTTGGTCAGGCTGGTCTCGAACTCCCAGTGTCAGGTGATCCGCCCACCTCAGCCTCCCAAAGTGCTGGGATTACAGGCGTGAGCCACCGCGCCTGGCGTTTTTGGGGGGTTTGTTTGTTTTGAGATGGAGTCTCTGTCACCCAGACTGGAGTGCAGTGGCACCATTTTAGTTCACTGCAACCTCCGCCTCCCAGGTTCAAGCAATTCTTCCTGCCTCAGCCTCCCGAGTAGCTGGGATTACAGGCACCTGCCACAACGCCCAGCTAAGTTTTTTGTATTTTTAGTAGAGATGGGGTTTCACCACGTTGGTGGCCAGGCTGGTCTCCAGCTCCTGACCTCACATGATCATCCGCCCACCTCGGCCTCCCAAAGTGCTGGAGTTATAGGTGTGAGCCACTGTGCCCAGCCATCTTTTGATTCTTAAGGAAATGATTTTTAAGTCTCCTTCCAATAAGGATTTAGCAGCGGAGTTTTCTTCTTCTACAGATAATCTGAGGCTTCCCAACTGCACCAAGCTCCATTTGGGCAGAGACCTTACTTGTCTGTTCACTCCATATCCCTAGCATCAAGAAAACTGCCAAGCACAACACAGGCACTCAGTAAATTTCTGTCAAATGAATGAATAAAATACCACCACCTTTTCCTGGGACCATTTTGGACCAAGGCTGGCATAGGCATCTCTGTTCCTCCCTCTAACTTAACAATGCCATCTCTTAGAGGCAGATGCTGCCTGTTTTCTGTAAATTTTATTATTCACCTCTCTATATTGGGAAAAACAAGTTGGTGTGGTTTACTTAGGAATCTCACATCCAGGAAATGAACTAAAAATGTTGTATCAAAGATTATGCATGGGATCTACAAACTAAGAAGCAAGCAGATGAGCGCAGTTACAGGCATCATGGTATATTTTCCAGAAGAAATGGTCCATGGATTAAAAATTATTATGATGAGTCTGCAGTAATATAGAAACCAAGTAGTGGGAATCAGAAAATGAAAAGCACAGCCATTGACTGTGATTACAAACCAAAACTTTATACCAATTACCTGCTGGAATTTATGCTGCATGAAGGCAGGATATTTTGCTTGTCCTGTTCACTGGACAGTACCTGGCATATGGGATGTGCTTATTAATATTTTCTGAATGCATTAGGGAAACTAAATATAACATTCACCCATGAAAACATATCTGGGCCAGGCGCAGTGGCTCATGCCTGTAATCCCAACACTTTGGAAGCCCGAGGCGGGCAGATCATGGGAGGTCAGAAGCTGGAGACCAGCCTGGCCAACGTGGTGAAAACCTGTCTCTACTGAAAATACAAAAATTAGCTGGGTGTGGTGGCGGGCGCTTGTAATCCCAGCTACTCAAGAGGCTGAGGCAAGAGAATTGCTTGAACCTGGGAGGTGGAGGTTGCAGTGAGCCGAGATGGTGCTACTGCACTCCAGCCTGGACAAGAGTGAAACTCGGTCTCCAAAAAAAAAAAAAAAAAAAAAAAAAAGAAAGAAAAGGAAAGCATATCTGAAGGGAATGAACAAATATACATACGGAAAACTGTATTCATGGGGTGGAACGCTGGCTGTTTCCCCCACTTTTGCTATTTCTCAATTCTCCCCTAAAGTTGTGATAGCGTTTTCTCAGTGGAAAGGATGACCACAGAATCATCTCCCCTGGGCTGCAACTAAGGAAGTATCTGAATTGGAGTGAGAATGCGGCCAGGCTTCAAATCCAGAAGGGGCATTTTACAGGGCGTGTGGCTCTCACCCAGGGCTCACAGGACACCTGATACTTAGGCTGCTTCCCAAGAGGCTGAGGACAGCGCGGCCCCAGCTCCCCCAGTTTAGGAGCCTGCACTGGTGAGCGATGGCTGCTCCGCACAGCCCCCGGGTCCTCTACGGAAGTCCCTGGCACCTATCAGGACCCCTAAGGGAGGTCGCTTGTTACCCCTCACTCGAACTCGGTCCCAAATGAGAAGCGGCCCTCATCTTCCCCGAAAGGGTCTCTTGTTCTTCCTGGCCCTCCTGCGAAGGTCATTACTCCCCAACTCGCCTTTTTTGATGTTTTTTGGTTCCTGGTTTTTTGAGGCAGGGTCTCGCTTCATCTCACAGACTGGGGTGCAGTGGCGCCATCACAGCTCACGGCAGCCTCGACCTCCCGGGATCAAGCGATCCTCTCACCTCAGCCTCCCGAGTACCTGGGACCACAGGCGAGCGCCACTACGCCCGGCTTCTTTGCTTTTGTGTTTTGTTTGTTTTGTTGTTTGTTTGTTTGATAGAGACGAGGTCTCGCTATGTTGTCCAGGCTGGTCTCTAACTCAAAGGATCCTCTCACCTCGGCCTCCGAAAGTGCTGGGATGACAGGTGTGAGCCACCGCGCCCGGCCCCTCGCCAGCCTTTTGAAGGAGCCTTTCGTCCTCAAGGCCAAGGGCAAGGCCACCCCCTCCCCGCGAGTTCCATGCCCCCTAGAGGGTCACAGTTCCAGACGGGGAGGTGGCGCCCTCCCCTAGGCCCCGGACCCCGACCGCCCGGTGCCGCCTCCTTCCGGGCCCTCCCCATGATGACGGCGCTGCGAGCAGGCCGGGCGGACTGGGCGGGGCTCCGAGCGGGGACTGGGACCCAGACGGGCTCGGGGACGGGGAGCAGGCGGCGTGGCCATGGCGGGCTGCTGCGCCGCGCTGGCGGCCTTCCTGTTCGAGTACGACACGCCGCGCATCGTGCTCATCCGCAGCCGCAAAGTGGGGCTCATGAACCGCGCCGTGCAGCTGCTCATCCTGGCCTACGTCATCGGGTGAGCGCGGCCGCGCGGGGCCGGGCGGGGGGCGCCGCGGGGGACGCGGCGGGGGCTGCCTTCGGGTTCGTCCCGTGCGGCGGCTCATCCCGGCTTCGGTCACCTGGGCGAGTGCGGGGGCGGCGAGCCAAGGCGGTGATACCTTCCCTGGGCCCCAGCCGCCGCGCCGGGCCCCGGGGGCGAGAGGCTGCTTACTGCTGTTTCAAAGCCATAGCCTGGGCGGGGCGCGGTGGCGCACGCCTGTAATCCCAGCACTTTGGGAGCCCGAGGCGGGACCATCGCCTGAGCCCAGAAGTTCGAAACCAGTTTGGGCAGCATCGTGGGACCCCGTCTCTGCAAAAGATTAAAAATCCGCCAGGCCTGGTGGCGCGCGCCTGGGGTCCCAGCTACTCAGGAGACTGAGGTGGGAGGATCGCTTGAGCCCAAGAGGCTGAGGCTGCAGTGAGCTATGATCACACCACTTAACTCCAGCCTGGGAGACAGTCCGAGACCCTGCTCTTTACAAAATAAATAAAGGCAAAGCCTGGCTAGGCCGTTACCCTCTCCTGTCTGACCCCCCAGAGTGCCCCTTGGCTGTAGGGGCTTCGCCCTGAACGTCTCAATCTTCGCTCTCCACTTCCCATCCTGCTGATTTGCCGACAAAACCAAAGCTTGGAATTTCCGCTTGGTTCCTTCTGGGTCGGTGGCTTCTGGTCATTTCTTTTGATCACTAGGCAGTATCACTATGTGGTAGTAGCGAGGTCAGACTTCAAGAGTAGTTAAAATTTGCTTCCTTTGTTTTGTGGGATTGTGGGGCTTTTATGGTACCTGCCCTGGCCTAGTCAGTCATTCCCCATGCTGCGCCCTTAGGCTAGAGATGCCCTGCCGCCCTCAGGCCTCGCTGAATGTGCCATTGTACTTGAATGCACCTGTTAGTTTTGTTTTGTTTTGTTGTGTTGTGTTTTTTTTGTTTTGTTTTTTGTTTTTTGTTTTTTTTTTGAGACGGAGTTTCTCTCTTGTCGCCCGGGCTGAAGTGCAATGACACGATCTCGGCTCACTGCAACCTCCGCCTCCCGGGTTCAAGCAATTCTTCTGTCTCAGTCTCCTGAGTGGCAGGGATTACTGGCGCCCGCCACACGCCCGGCCAATTTTTGTATTTTTTAGTAGAGACGGGGTTTCACCATGTTAGCCAGGCTGGTCCTGAACTGACCTCAGGTGATCCGCCCACCTCAGCCTCCCAAAGTGCTGGGATTACAGGTGTGCGCCCCCGCGCCCAGCTGGCACCTGTTACTATTGAATACAACCTGAGAGAGAAGATGAGAATTACCTTGCCACCTGGGGCCACTTTAAAGGCTTACCTGGGGTGTTCTTGTGTCTACAGCTGCTGGGCTGACACGCATTGCCTAGTGCAGTGGTCCCCAAACTGCACATTGGAACCATCTGAGAATCTTTGGCTCTCCTCCCTAGACCCTTTTTTTTTTTTAAGATGGAGTCTCCCTCTGTCGCCCACGCAGTGGTGCAATCTAGGCTCACTGCAACCTCCACCTCCCCGGTTCAAGCGATTCTCCTGCTTCAGCCTCCCGAGTAGCTAGGATTTACAGGCGCCCACCACCATGCCCGGCTAATTTTTGTATTTTTAGTAGAGACGGGGTTTCGCCATGTTGTCCAGGCTGTTCTTGAACTCCTGACCTCAGGTGATCCACCCGCCTCTGCCTCCCAGAGTGCTGGCATTACAGGCATGAGCCACCGTGCCCAGACGCATACCCAGACCTTCTGATTTAATTGCTGTAGCATATGATCAGCTGCCCAGGTGATTCTGATGTTTAGCAACGTATCGGGACCAATGAACTGTGTTTCCCAAGTTTACCTGACCATGGAAGACTCATGTGAGGAATTGTTTAAAAGCAACAAATCCCCCTCTTTGGGGTGAGGTTTGGAATCTTAACACTGCCCAAGGGAATTCCCATGACGGAGCAGGTTTGACTTCCAGTATCTGTCAGCAGCAGCAGTAGGTACAGACAGTATTCAAGAGGATGGCTTTCCAGGTGCAGACTCAACATCAGAACCACCTGGCCCACACCCAGATTTGGACTCATTGGCTCCCACCTGTAGTCCCAGTGCTTTGGGAGGCCAAGGTGGGAGGATTGCTTGAGGCCAGGAGCTCAAGACCAGCCTGGACAACATAGTGAGACTCCATCTCCAAAAGAAAAATAAAGGTTAAAATGGTAAATTTTACTGATGGAGTTGTGTAAAACAAAAAAAAAAAATTTTTTTTTTTGGCCGAGCGCAGTGGCTCATGCCTATAATCCCAGCATTTTAGGAGGCCGAGGCAGGTGAGGTCAGGAGTTCGAGACCAGCCTGACCAACATGGTGAAACCCCGTAAAATGCAAAAAATTAGCCCGGTGTGGTGGCGGGCGCCTATAATCCCAGCATTTTAGGAGGCCGAGGCAGGTGAGGTCAGGAGTTCGAGACCAGCCTGACCAACATGGTGAAACCCCGTCTCTACTAAAAGTACAAAAAATTAGCCGGGCCTAATCAAAAAATTAGCTGAGGCCTGTAATTCCAGCTACTCGGGAGGCTGAGGCAGGAGAATCGCTTGAATCCAGGAGGTGGAGGTTGCAGTGAGCTGAGATTGCGCCGCTGCACTCCAGCCTGAGCCACAAGAGCAAAACTCCATCTCAAATATATGTGTGTATACATATTATATATATACACACACACATACATATATTTGAGACCCACTGCTAGCCAGTGAATTGAACTCACATCCCTGGTTGGACTTGAAGCATTTGGGGGCAGGAGCTCCCCTGCAGCTTTTTGCTTTTGGCATTTGCTGCCAGTGGGAGTATCAGTGCTCATCTACCTTAGGGTACCTGTAAAATTACGACTGTGGAAAATATCCATAGTGGTGTTGCACTGTATGGTAGCCACTAGTAACTTGTACCTATTGAACACTTTAACCGTCCCTACTCTAAATTGAGATGTGCTATAACTGTAAAATACACACTGGATTTCAAAGACATAAGTTCAGAAAAAGAGGCTGGGCACAGTGGCTCATGCCTGAGATCACAGTACTTTGGGAGGCTGAGGTGGGAAGATCGCTTGAGCTCAAGAGTTTGAGACAAACCTGGGCAACATAGCGAGAACTTGCCTCTACAAAAAAATACAAAAATTAGCCTGGCATGGTGCACACACCTATAGTCCTACCTATTTGGGAGGTTGAGGCAGAAGGACTGCTTGAGCCTGGGAGGTTGAGGCCACGGAAAGCTGTGATCATACCACCACACTCCAGCCTGGGCAACAGAGCGAGATACTGTCTCAAAAAAAAACAGAGTACCACTGTCACATCAATACATTTTTTATTGATGACATGTTAAAATATTTTGGCTATATTGGGTTACACAGAATATATCATTACAATTCATTTTTCTGTCTCTTTTCTTTTTTTCTTTTTTTCTTTTTAAACGGGGTCTCGTTTTGTCACCCAGACTGGAGTGCAGTGCACTGCAACCTCCACCTCCCAGGCTCAAGTGATTCTACCATCTCAGCCTCTGGAATTATGGGACTACAGGTGCACACCACCACAACTGGCTAATTATTGTTTTGTTTTGTTTTGTAGAGATGAGATTTCTCATTTCTACAATCATGAGGTTTCCATGTTGCCCAAGCTGGTCTCGAACTCCTGAGCTCTAGCAATCTGTCTGCCTCGGCCTTCCAGAGTGCTGGGATTACAGGCATGAGCCACCGTGCCTGGCTCTTCCTATTTCTTTTTACTTTTTGACATAACTATGAGAAACTTTTAAATTACAGGGTCTTGCTCTGTGGTAGCACACGCCTGTAATCCCAATACTTTGGGAGGCTGAGGCAGGTGGATCCCTTGAGCTTAGGAAATTTGAGACCAGCCTGGGCAACATAGTAAAACCCCATCTCTACCAAAAATACAAAAAATTAGCTCGGCATAGTGGCGCATACCTGTAGACTCAGCTACTTGGGAGGCTGAGGTGGGAGGATCACTGTAGCCTGGGAAGCGGAGGTTGCAATGAACCGAGATTGTGCCACTGCACTTCAGCCTGGGCAACAGAGCGAGAGCCTGTCTCAAAAAAAAAAAAATATGTGGCTCGCATTATGTTTTTATTGGACAGCACAGCTCTGTAGGATTGCTTATGGCGTATTCACTATCTCAGTCATGAGAATCTTTAAAGCAGTAAATGCTTTGCTTTTGTCCATCTTGCTATAATCAAAACTGACTCAGGACCTGAATTAAGGCTTTTTTTTTTTAACCTCGTCTCTTAACTTTTTCATCCAACTCATCTTGGTGAAATTGTGGTCTCTTCTTACAGCAACCCTTCCTCAAAAAGAGACCGAACACGCAATTCTCATCTATCTAACTCTGTTAACAATCATGAGATGAGGAAATAATCACATGATAATGAGTGGCATGAAACCCTGTGTCTCTAAATTAAGCAACTCACTGTGCTTGATGAGTACATCAGTCTTCCTGCCCCAAGCTTTTGTGTGTCAGACTGGAATTAAATGGAAGCTTACGCTGCAGCTGAATTCCTAGAAGCCCTGGACTTGTCAGGGGAAAAACCCATCGGGGGAAAGCCCATCTCTAGGCTGGGCAATGAACTTGGAGACTGCTTGATCAGA